GCAAATATTTTTTGACTAAAGATTTATGATGCTCTTTATAGCCTTAAAACATCTGCAACATTTCAAAGCATTCTGGTTAGCAGATTAAAAATTAAATTTCAAAATGTTGTTTTATAATTTTGATTTTTTTTCCAAAAATCTGGACGTTTCGGGTGAAAAGTCGATTCAGAGTTGTAAACTACATGTGTAGGACTATGTTATTTTATACAATTGAAAACCCATTTACTATGTACAATTTTGAAGTGACGTCATCGCTTTAGTGGTGGGGATGATTCGACAAATTTTGGTTAGCGTTTTACCATCTACATGATATTCTTAATATAAGTACAAAATTTCACAACAATCGGTCGAGTACTTTCGGAGATTATCTGTCTAATAAAAATCCGGGACAACAGACGGACAGACGGACAGACGGACAGACGGACGGACAGACGGACAGACGGACAGACGGACGGACAGACGGACAGACGGACGGACAGACGGACAGACGGACGGACAGACGGACAGACAGACGGAAATGGGAGACCTATTTCTTCGTCTTCTAGGGGTCATGAAAGATCGAGAAAACGTAAAAGTAGAGAGTCGGCCGACGGACTCGATTACAATACTTCCTTTGCTTACGCTCGGGAAGTAAAAAACCGAAAAATACTGGAATTGAGGTGTTTTGAAAAAAAATCTGTGTTTACCATATTGAAGATATCTAGTAAAGTATATTTTTTACAGAAATTATTTTTTAGTCAAGGTGATTTTTCAAATATATAAAATACATATAAAAAAAATCTGTTGTGCCCCATATACAGGCTGATTATTTTATTTGTTCACGCCTGGATAAGTCCGAATAGGCAACACATTTTACTTTCCATAAACGACTTCGTCTTAAATTTTTTATAAATAATAAGTAACGTGTAGATGACAAGGATTGCGCCAAAATTATGACAAATTAATCCTAACAGTCAAATTATTTTCAACTTTTGCTAACAGTGCTTTCGAATTCCAAAATGAACGACATTAATTAATAAAGAAAAAATAATCCTAGTAAAATTTTAACATATATGTACATACAGCGGCGACCAAAATAAAGTAGGACACGTTTCTTTGCCAGAGTAACTTTCAAATTTTTATTGACGTTTAAATGACATTTTCAATGAATACCTATTCAATTGAGTCGAGTTTACACAACTAAATTTTTTGAAAAAATGCTTTCAAGAGTGTATAGAATTTTTCAAATCAGCACGTCGAAATCTATATTCCAGATTTTTTTTATGAATTTTTAGGCCAGTTTTCCAAAAGCTCAATTTTTTAATACATACCTACCTACCTTGCGAAATTTTTCATTATTTTCCCATCCAATTAATTGCAGACATTTTCTTGAAGAATTCAACTCCTAAAAGTTATTTTAGGGTTTATTTCTTCGAAAATTCCCACCATTTCGAAAATCTTTTTCTGGAACAATAAAATTTTTATATTTTTTGAATTAGCACGTGAAGTGGTCGAGATCCACATCTTAGAATTTTTTGTAATTTTTTTGTCAACTTTTCAAAAACCTCGATTTTTCAGTACTCCCCTACAACATTTTTGATAATTTTTCAACCACCTTTCAAAATTCGATAGAGACATTTTTTTGTCGTTCTACTCCTAGAAGTTGTTTTCGGCTCTATTTCTTTTAAGATTACTGTCACATTTTTCCAGAATCGTCAATAGTTGAAATGTGGTAGTTAGCATGATATACATTTGCGAGATTCCGAACTATTCGGTTTTCCACTTCCGGAGCTAGACTGTAAAATGTTGTTATACAATTTTGATTTTTCTTGAACAGTTTCGCATTACTTCAAAGTATTTAGTATCATACGATATTAAGGAATGCGCTTTAACGGTTCATCGTTGTCAAATCATCGTTTGAAAACATTGTTATGTTTGTGAACACGCAGAAGGTAATAAATTACTGGAAAATCGTACAGCTACGGTAGACGTTAACTCACGGTTTATGAATGAGCTGTTTACATAACATGAGGGCAAAAAAGCGTATACAATATCTAGAAAGCTTATTTATTTGCAAATTTGTCAACACTTATTGACATTTACAAAAATTTAGTAGTGTATGCCTCTAAAATGAAACTAATTTTGGTATTCTGGGAGTTAGTTTTCGTTGCGGTACTTTGTCTCGCTCAGGAGAAAAGACCCACCGAGTGTTATTTTTGTTTCAGCGCGTGCAAAGTTCCCATCGTTAGTGTAAAGTGTGACAACACTACCGTAACATGTCTGACAAGTATTACCAAAGAAAGTAAATATAATAATAATTATACCATTACTGTGTTGGTAAACGAATTGCTTGCAGAAGATGGACACATGGACGAATTCAGATCTTGCGTTACCCAGAACTATATTACAGAACACTGCGTCAACAACACTAACATGAGGTGTTACTATTGTTATACTAATTTGTGCAATTGGGAAGATTTATTTTTCGAAGAAGCCAGTTCGTCACAAATGCATTCGTTGTCATATATACTGTATTGTATACCTTTGTTTATTATTTTAATAAAATTCCAGTAGTGGAAACAAAATTATTCTTTATGATCTTGTACGAAACAGCTAAATGCTAAGAACCAGTTATGTGGGATTTCTGTATTGTTATGGTGTTAAATGATTAACGATGTCTTCTCAATTATAATATAACAAGTGATATGATTATTATCGATAATATTTCGAGTGAAACCGAGCTGCAGATTCAACGAGTGCGAAGCACGAGTTGAATGTGCTGCTTCGGTTTCACGAGCCATATCTTCGATTATTAATCATATCACGAGTTATATTCAACATGAGAATATAATAAATGAACATATTTTTTGATAATAGAATTGATTTCGTCGTTTTGAGCTTGCTCCCAACGTTGGCAAGCCATAATAGACAAAAAAATTTATGAAATTCTAAAATTTGTCAAATTTGACGGTTTTTAAATTTAGGTAGCAACAGACCACAATAAGGCAATAAAATTATTATCGCTGTGATAGACATGTAACTAAGGGCATGGACAAATTCTATTGGAAGAAATGGGGTCATGTGATCCATGAATTATATTCTCTCAATTATAATATAACAAGTGATATGATTATTATCGATAATATTTCGAGTGAAATCGAGCTGCAGATTCAACGAGTGCGAAGCACGAGTTGAATGTGCTGCTTCGGTTTCACGAGCCATATCTTCGATTATTAATCATATCACGAGTTATATTCAACATGAGAATATAATAAATGAACATATTTTTTGATAATATAATTGATTTCGTCGTTTTGAGCTTGCCCCCAACGTTGGCAAGCCATAATAGACAAAAAAAATTATGAAATTCTAAAATTTGTCAAATTTGACAGTTTTTAAATTTAGGTAGCAACAGACCACAATAAGGCAATATAGTATATTATTAGCCAAGGTTGCAGAGCCAAGCATTCTAGACCGAGCGCAAATTAGAACCCGAGACGCGCAGCGTCGAGGGCTCTAAGTGCGAGGTCTAGAAGTGGCTTTGCAACCGTGGTTAATATACTATTTTTTTCACTAGTAGAAACCATAAGACAATAAACTGAAAAATAAACGTTAAATTTTTTGACGCAACATGATTTTGTTTTGATTTCTAATCAAACTTGATCTAAATCTTCAACACAAAGAAAACCGTTTATACTTGTCGCTGAGTTAATCATTTTATCTTCTACCTTCTACCAACTACCATGCGTATACTCAAGTAATGTTTGTAGCACACATTTGTTCATTTTTTAAGAAATAATCACATCAAACATTGCGTACATAACCTCAATTTTTCTTTTTGAACCCGTGGTAGCAAAAGTTGAATTTGCTACCACTAAATGAGTCGACATTTGCATGCGTCCAGGCTGCTAGTGAAAAAAAATTATTATCGCTGTGATAGACATGTAACTAAGGGCATGGACAAATTCTATTGGAAGAAATGGGGTCATGTGATCCATGAATTATATTCTCGATAAATTATAAAAATATCTAATTGTTACAAATCAGTGTCGTCTAATAACGCAACTTCTCTGCCAGCTGTCACACCGAAGCCTATGCAACTGACTCTACACTCTAACAACTCTACCTATTCATACACTATCCGGTATGCGACTGATTACACAATTCTATCTGATACAATTAGGTATACTTAATTATAGTAAGAATCAGGAAGCAATGCGTGCGTACACGTCGGCTTGTTATTGTTTTGGTTTGTTCTATTTATGATTATAGCATGGGAAGAACGTTAGTGTGAAGCAACAGTTAACAAAGAAGCTATACTTGCAGTGTTTGAGCACGTAAGGGCATGCAGTAGGCTGCATAGGTGCTATGAATTACAAACTCAGGCACAGGAAAGATCATGACTGTAACCCCTTTCACGTGTTCCTAGTCACTGAAGCCTGTCACTCACGTTCCAACGCCGCGGTACAGTTGTGTAGGATATGACGAAATTGAAGTGTTTTTGAACGTCTGTGTATGCGACAAGCAAATCGGTTGGATGTGGACGGTTGGTGAAGAAGTCTGTCTACAGCAGTACAGTCGTGTTGTATTGGATGGAAATTTGATCGTGTGGACAGTGTACGTTATACAAACCGTGAAAGCAGGTATAAAAGTCCATTTTCTTCGGACATGTTGCCACCACAATCGCAAATTTTTAACTGCAAGGTCGTAACGTGTGTGTACTGCTGCTTATCAGCAGAATTGTACAGCAGTTGTATCCAATACAATTGTACCCCGGCGTTGGAACGTGAATGACTGGCTTTAAGAACGTTCATTTTTGCATTGACTGCTGGTAAAAATTGACAATTGGGTGTTACACACATACTTGCAGGGTGGTACAAGACTTCATACTGTACTTAAAGCTACCAACGAGAATGTCAACATACGTCTCAAACAGACAGCATTGAACAGTTGTGACAGGCTTCAAGTTAGAGAAATACGCTTACCGTCTTCAATGCCACAATGGCCACGTCACATCTACAGAATAAGTTACTTTATCTACGACTCTTTAATAATAGACGCATTATGTACGTAACTATAGATACATAATACCCCATATTAATCACTAGTGTTTAATGAATATTAAACACTAGTGAATAATGGATTTATTTCAAAATGTCCTAAAATACTGTTCCTTTTTTTCTAGAAAAATATAAACGTCAAAACTATGTATGTATTCGTTTTTTACGTGTTATATATTTAACAGTTAGTATTCTGTGTAGGATTTAAAATTTAAATTTACAATCTAAACGGAATTCGTATTTCGCGATTGTAGATTGTAGATGGCTCTGACGTTGTTTACGTTGCCACCTGCTACTACGGACGCTTAGCCGCCATTGTGCGTATTGTTTTGAATTTTGATTTCTTGCGAAAATTTATTACCGACGAGTGTTTTTATAAGAGGTTATCATCAGTTATAATGGATGAAAACACTGAAAATCTTCCTGGCACACCTCCCGAAGTGGCAGAAGCAGCTGGTGCTGTTAACCTGTTACCAGAGAAATCTCAAAAATTGTACAAAATAGCGTACAATCAATTCATGAAGTGGAAACAAGAAAAGAAGATTACCTCATTTTCCGAACGGGTGATATTAGCATACTTTGCAGACTTATCAAGTAAATACAAAATTTCTACGCTGTGGACTTATTACTCCATGCTACGAAGTACTCTCAACATCAATCATAACATTAATATAGAACAGTACCATAAATTAAGAGCATTCTTAAAGCGTCAAGGAGAAAATTACCAGCCAAAGAAAGCGAAAACGCTTAGTCCTCAACAAATAACTAAATTCATCACTGAAGCCCCTGATGTAAAATATCTAGCAACGAAGGTAAGAAATTATTGTTTCAAAATTATGTTGTAGGTTCTCATTTATTATTTTTTTAAAGGTGGCTTTGATAATGGGCATAATGGGTGCATGTAGGACTCAAGAACTGCATTCAATGCGAATTCAAGACATCAAAGATTTGAATTCAGCTTTTTTGGTAACACTGCCCAACACTAAAACAAAGATTAGAAGATCTTTCACAGTAACTGAAGATTACTATTTAATATGCAAAAAGTATCTTGATTTACGTCCAGCTGAAGTGCAATCAGATGTGTTTTTCCTTAATTACCAGAATGGTAAATGTACTATGCAGAGAATAGGTATCAATAAATTTGGTGGTATGCCGAAAGAAGTTGCAGCATATTTGGGGCTCCCAAATCCAGAATTATTTACTGGACACTCTTTTCGTAGATCCTCGGCTACTTTATTGGTGGATGGTGGAGGGGACATAACCGATTTAAAACGCCACGGAGGATGGAAAAGCTCCTCCGTGGCAGAGGGCTACATAGATAACAGTGTGAAATACAAACTAGAAACATCAAAGAAAATTTTTAAACAGGTGAATCCCTCGTCAACACCATGTACATCAATTCGAGCTCCTGTAATGGCAGAAAACTGTGAAAACATAGAGGAGTATGCTGCTGTAAACTGCGATAATGTTGTGATGAATCCATCTCCCCCATGTACATCAAGTGAAACTAATTGTGGTTTAAGAGAAACTAGTAATTTTGTTAAAAATTCCCATTCCCTCAGTAGTAATGTCAGTGTTGACATGAAAGGCAAGCCAATACAGATTTCAAACTGCAGTGGCCATTTTACATTTAATTTTCTTGCTAAGACAAGTAATAATAATAATTAATTACTTATTTGTTTTGTTTATTGTTTCTGAAATAAATTATTATTTGTGAAACGTGTATAATTTGTTTAGAGTCGTAGATAAAACGTCGTATTTAACTAGCGCATAATGGCTATTATTCACACGGATGATTTACACACTCGCCTGCGGCTCGTGTGTAATTTTCATCCTCGTGAATAATATGCTACATTATGCGCTTGTCAAATAATATACTATTATTGACATGGAATAGATACAAAAGTAAACTATAAACAATAATAACTATTGATGTTGCACAACGTCTTCGTCTGACCAGTGATCTGTATATTTGGCCAGTGAAGTGATAGTGTGATTATAAAAGACATCAGCAGAACATGCCGCTAGTACAATCAATTAGGATGGTAATGGAAAATAACCTACATGTTACAGTGGCTGAATGCCCTCTGCAGTATTAGAATCTTCACTGTCATAATTACTAAAACTATAATCTGAATCTTCGTTAATGTCGATTATAAACGGCGCAATCTCTTCACGGTCAAATAATAATTCCCGTTCTCACCACTCCCGTATTATTTTATCCATATGGTCAACAGTATTTTTCCACATTGTGGGCGTGACATGTGCTAACGCTTCTTTCCACATTTCCACGGAATTTTGTTTGACCATAACGACCACGCCCAATGTGTTTGGAATAATAATTTGTAGTAATTCCCCAAATATTTTCTATAGGGTTAAACACGGCCATTCTGTTGGCCCAATTCACGGCAACATACGTTTTTGGATGTTTATTTCTGAAAAACATGATATTTTAAATGAAACGATAGAGAATAGTATATGCATTACTGTGCAACCAAATGATGAAGTTCCGTTTTTAACAGCTGTGGATCTGAACTTATGTCATGATGTTAAAGCCATTCACGAATTTCTGCTTTTTTCCATGAACCATTGGGACATTTGTTTGCAAGGGTAATGTGGTAGCTTGCATTGTTTATAATAATCAATGACGGTTCTTCAAGATTCATGAGTAACTGAAACCACTTGAGAAAATTCTGTTCATTCATTTCGCCATGATAGTCTAGATTTTTGGTATTAGAAGAAAATACCAGCACAGCTTCATCAATAAATCCATTGCTTGTACCTACATGTAATACAATATACCTAAAATATAGTGAGAAGAATAAATAACCAACGTGAAACTGACACATTACTAACTTTTCCCTTCTATTTTGAACGTCCTGATACTTTTGACACTATCGTCTTGCCATGGACCTAATTACCGAACCATTTTCAAATATCCATGTTTCATCAAGATCACATGGCAAAGGATTTGGCTTCTGCTGATTGTGCATGTATTCACGTAAGAATTTGGTTCTTGCATGAATAACATGTAATTCCATAAGACTCTTCCGTACACTTGTTGGAGAATAATGAAACCCAATAGAGAATGTAAAATTCTTCCTAACGAGCTCAGAGAACCCTCAAATATATGTTTCTCCTTCAAGCAATTAAGTAATGACGATCGTGTAACATGTATTTCTGTAAAATAATCGTTAGTATCTATAAGGCGTGCGCATCAAATTCATACTTTTTTTCGACCATTCCATATAAGAATTCTCGAATAGCACACTGCTCCGAAGATCACACACTTGCTTTGTTCGGGGGTCTCTATTTCTTGGGAGAATGTACACTTTCTCCGATTTTTATTTGCTGTACCACGCAGTTCACTTTTCGCACACATACACCTAGAGTAGCAGCAACCCTCTGTACAATGTGACTGCATTAGTAACTGTAATAAAATACACCTACTTACGTCTTGAACAGCTGGTAGTGGTAAAGGAGGTCCCCCGTTATCGCGTTTTTTAGAAAAATAGTTCACTAAATTAGCGACCATTTACTTTGCATCTTTGTACAAGGGCTTTGGCATGGTGGAACGTTTACGTTCAAGCGAGCGACAGGTACCACGGTACACGACAGTTAAATTGGAGTTTTGAACGCGAAAAATCAAACAATAACATAACTTAATCAAACTGACACCAATGACACTTGTGAAACCGATAAAACGTTAGCATATGTTTCGCTATTAGTCGTGGGAGTATTTGTGGGACTTGTAAAGCAAACAGCTGATATCATCTAAGAAATTTTATCTTTACTTAAGTTTTAACAAAACATGTGGCCACCTGATTAAGCTCTTACAATCAAAATTACTAAAAATTCCATACTATCTTACGTTGAATGCCAACAAGAGCTCAGCGTGATCCCTCATACAATATAATTTCGACAATAGCAAAACCGCTGTTGTCGAAAAGACAAATTCTTTAAAAAGAAAAATAGTAGACAACAAATCCCAATGCAAGAATGTATTGAAGCTTTAACAAATGGTTTATTCTTATTATGCTGTTAAGCACTGGAATGGACACAATAAATATATATATATTTAACACTGAACAAATGCTATATAATTATTATTAATTACGATGCTATGGTAAACTAACATCTGTCGTTAAATATTTGAGGTTTATTTTTCAAATTGTGTGTTAGCGCCCGCTAATTATTATTTCGGCTGAACACTATTCGAAGTGAGTGTAGTTGCTTTTCTTTTCTTTTCTTTTCTTTAATGAAGCAGTAAAACGGTGTTCGTTTATTCTTTTGACAGATCCATCTCTAGTTGGCAATTTCTGAATTTCAGATCTTGGTCTAGAAAGAGGGCAGGAACATTGCCATATAACACTGCTGTACGGTAACATCATTGAAGTAAGTATATATATTTCATTGGTTTCCTCGTTAATGAATACTGAACCAGAAAGTTTTGATGAAATGGGAAAATTTATAACATGTTTAAGAAAAGCATCAATACGTCAAATTATTTTCCGCTAAAATTTGAATTGTTTAAATACGATGTTTAAAAAGATTAATAAACGAATCAATTTTATTTTTGTTGATTAAATGAATAACGTTTTGTCCAATTTTCCCAAAATTCTGACAACAGACTAGTAGAACTGTTTTTATTTTAATACAGAGACGTTATCGTAGCAAAATAAAATTTGTTTAATAAACTTTTTGTGATTATTCTAAGAAACTAGACGTATTGCAGGTTGTTTTTCTGAGGATATTCTTTACTTTAACTGAACTAATGCAGAGGATTAACCAATGCAGAGACAAGGTCAACTTCGGTTACGATTTAAAATACATAATATAATTTTATGGTATATTAGGTATTAAGAACGGTAAGGGAGGTTTACCTACTTGTGGAAGACAAAAATTTAGAGATTGAGCGCAGTGACAATTTTTCTGAGACCAACAGTAAACCCCTTAACGTTCGTGATGTTTACACAGACAAAGTTCTAGATTTGTATCCAATGTGTAACGTTGAAAGAAATTCATCACACTTCAACGAATCCTGTTTTTAGCTTTCAAAATTAGTACTGCGTTTCACTTAAGCATAAACATTATAATCTTGAATACTCCTACATGGCTAGGATGTCAGAAAAACAGGTAATTGTCAAAATATTTAATTGCAAAATTTTATTTAAACAAAATTAGTGACAGTATGAAATAATAATAATTATTAACGACATAAGGCCGATATTAAGCAACTAACGGGTAAGGAGACAATAAAACATCTCCGCGCTCGTTGATGGCAATATCGGCCGTATGTCGTTCAACAGTTTTCATAATACATACCTTCAAAAGAAAGCATCATTAAAGACCTTGGAGTACTATTTGACATTAATATGACTTTCGTAAATCATATTGAGAGTATTGCCTCTGCTGCTTCTAAGACTTTAGGCTTCATTATGCGAACTGCTAAACTCTTTCATAGTCCACTAGTGTTAAAATCCTTGTATTTTTCTTTTGTTTTATCAAAACTTCAATTTGCTTCCAATATTTGGTCTCCTTATTATATTTGTCACCAGTTAAATCGTTAGCCTTTCGAAGAAGACGACTTGGTGCCAGATTTATTTGGAACATTATACATGGTAGGTTGGACTGCAGTGACATCGTTAATTCGTTTTAAGGTTTCATGTTCCTCGTCCAAATGCTCGTCATGCTGTTATTTTATTACATTTAGAATTCCAATTGCGAGGACGAATTTACTCAGAAAAGCACCCTTATTAACAACCATGTGTCGGGAGGCTAATATATAATTTTTACTTGGATATTGTTCACTAGCAGCGAGTAATTTTATTAAATATTATTAATATTATTTTACTTATATTTATTTATTTATTTTTACTTTCCATGTACAATTTATTATGTAGTTAGTTATTAGTATTGTATCCAGTATTTATTAGTATTTAGGTATGTATATGTGTATTTTTTTATAATTGTCCTGTAAGTGGGTGAAGAACCTGTTGAGGAATAAAGTCATTATTATTATTATTATTAAAAAAAAGAAACTACTTTAGAATTTTTTTTTCATAAATTAAATAATTAGGTCTGTTCCTGGTTGCGCTATTTACAAGCAACTCGCACTTTTTTAATGAAAAATTGCGAGTTGTTTGAGTTATTTTTCATAAAAAAAGTGCGTTTGAAAAGTGTTTTCCAATTTTAACCGTGGAAGGAAAAAGTTCTGCTTGGAGTGCTTGGGTTGCACTTCCCGAAGACATATATGATGAAGCTAACCTAGCAAGTCCAATCTCTACTACCAACAAAGACCAACAAAGATATCAAAAAGAATACGAACATCTTATTTCATGGCGAAAAAGCAAGGAAGCATACGGTGTGAACGAAGAAATTTTGTTAGCATTTGGTCAGATTTGTCTCCTAAATTTGCTTCAAATATTTTGTCGAGTAAAGTACGTTAAAAACAAAATAACTAAATGAAAATGTCGGAATTTCCGGGTACCTGTCAAAACGTCACATGTTAAAGGTCATGATTTCAAGTGTTTGTTTTTAGATATGGAAAATTATTTATCATGCTGAAGAGAAAATCTGAAAATTACAAGCCGAAGTTTTGAACAAATTAACAATATTTTTTTTTTGGAAACTCGTGATAATGTGTTCTTATTAAAAAAAGTCGGAATGGGACTATTTGGCGCGGCCGACTTGAGGCGAGACATTTTGGCGCAGGGACGCTTTAGCGCGAGCTATCTTGGCGCGAGTAGGTGGGTGGATAATATAGACATCATTTATTGTTCGTACTGTAGTTGGCACCCTGTTATTTATGCTAGACAACTAAATACATACGGAATTTCATTCGCACAAATTCCAATGACTAAATGATCCACGAAGCAAGAAGTTCCACGTTTAGGAGTATGTTTGTAATGGGGTGCAGGGAGCGAAGCGCCCGTGTGTCCATTAAAAAGTCGACATTACCCCTCTACACGTTGGTGACTATAAAAAGTTAGATTATGTTAGCAACGGCTGCAATTTATATATCTATTTATATATATACGTATATGTATATTTTTCTTGGTGCCAGTTGATCGGCACCAAAATGGCTTGCGCCAAGTTGGCTTTGTGCCAAAATGTCTCGCGCCAAGTCGGCCGCGCCGAATTGTCCTAGACCGAGAAAAAGTGATATGATTATTTGGGATTTGTGAGACGTGTCGACGAGAAGAGCTCACCCAATTAATGTTTGATGTTCAAAGATTGTCAGTTCCGCTTTTCAATAAAATGTAACTAAAACTGCTGTTGATATTATTTAACAGATTCTGACATAACGATATAGAAAATATTAATGATATGCCTACTTAATAGTTAGGTACCTATTATGAAAAATACGTAACGGCACACGTCCGTGATCACTTTTAACAATATTCGATTCGCGTTTCAAGACGGCTTCCTACGGTTGGCTGGTCTTTAAACCTCTCACTCATATGTGTGCTCGAATTTGTAACGTTAATTATTATTATCATCAATTAGTTGAGATGCAACACCTGATTATTTTATACGTATACGTGGAATGTATATATTTGTTTTAGCTTCAGTTATGGGTAATACGGGAGAGAAATTATAGAGTTTGATTTATAGAGACACTTACATCCGAATAGAAAATGACACCAATATCGATATCGTCGACACAAAGGCCACTAACTACGATTCATTCGATTGGAGACCTGGGCGCCGCCCTGACCAAAAGCTTAACAGATTAACTATCAAATCTCATGACACAGATACAACTTATCTTCCAGTAAGATTTAATGCCACTAATTGCCCATTTACTTTAAAATTGAAGTTTAAAAACAATACTGATGTGGAAGTAAGAATGGTTCAAAAGGAAGTGCTATGGAACGAGACATTCTATGGAAGTCATCGCCAGTATGTACTTAGAGTTTTTAGGATATGTGCTATGCTAGAAATCAAATTCGATATAGACATTGTTCTCAATATTTTCAATATTTTTAATCCATTCAAAGCTAATTAAAAAATGAACATTTCTCGTTAGATTTGAGAAGGCTGTGCCGTACACGGTATGAACACAGGAAAAAAAGCGGTTTTTTTAATATACAATAGGTACATATATTAACAGTATGTACAAGTCATGCCGGTACCGCACTGGCGACAAACAGTGTAGTGTATGAATGGGGGATGTATAAACTGCACTAATAGCCAGGTCCCTTTAATCTCACAGGTAAATTACACTGGGTACTCGACCGATCATTTAGTGGACATCCTGCGGAGTTGCTAATGACGGCTGCCTTATAATGAAATTGAATTTAAGAAAAAAACATGTTTATTTTACAAATATATGTACAAAGACAATTACAGTGACGGTGCGTTATAATGTGAAATCGATTGTAGTATGTATTGTTACGAAATAAACCCATACGCCGCCCCGGTACGACGCCCATGAGTTCCCGAGCTTTCTTTTACGTGAAAGCCTCGAGCGGGTTACCGGAAGTCTCGATTGCGGCGTCCAGAAAACTCTGATGCGGCGTTCTGGATCCATCGAGAGGCAAGCAGGGATTTAAATAGAGGCCACCGTCGGGAACCATGATGCCGCATCGTCCAAGACGACGATACCTATTGGATGCTCCAAAACAAGGGTTGGATAAAGGGGGGGGGGGGGGGTATTGAAAAAAAGACGGGTTTTGTCATTATCGAAATTAAAATAGTGGGCCTCATCTCACTGGGTGACCAGTGCAATTTACCTGTAGGATTAAGTCTGTCTGCACTTGTACTAGTGCAATTTACATGCTACCTGCGTTAACCCTTAGGTTACAAGTGCAATTTTCATATGTACTATGAATGAATACTGAATGATGAATAATGGTCCGGTACCCTTGGTCCTCGCACGCAAAAATGTTTTGAGCCTATGGGCGGATCATTTTTGCCGGTCGTCACCGAGGGAGGCGGTCCAAATCCTCCAAAGGCAGAATTTGTAGGTGGGCTTAAACTACAACGACATTTACGTGTTCACCAAATTCTTACTCTGAATTAGTGTTAATTTTATATGTAAATACCCTATCTAAAATGTTCAGAATATGATGAGTCTATATTTGTGATTTACCATTCCATTTATATTTTTTGGATTTGTTTATACAGGGTGACTCAAAAAAAAAAATGACTGAGTCAATTTATTTTATTGAAGAAATCAATAATTGCAAAACTGAATACTTTGAAATCTTGTCAATTAGTTGGAAACTGAACCCAATTTTTTTGTAATATCTGCAATATATGTGCTATTAGTTTCCGTAATTTATAAAATTAAAAAAAAAACCTGTTCTGATCTAATAAAATCGAGAATATGCCCAAAATCACACTAATATTAGGTCTGATTGTGTCGACCATAGTTATAAAATTCACATTAAAATAAGCCACGGACATTCTACATTTCAAAAAACAAAAAAAAAAAATGTTCAGTTTATAAACTTCATTCATAATTTTGGATTAAAATTTATCAATCATGTTTGAAGCTTTATTTTATTTGTTCCATTTGTTATCCTTTACTACGGTCTCTCTTAGCTTGGGGTGTAACACCGACCGAACGTTCTTCGACCGATAGGATAATTTATTACTTCCGTTATCTTTTTGGTGACAAATTTAATCTTTCAGCCTAGTTAGTGAACTCGTTGTAACCACTGAAATATACAAAGCGTAAATTCTGAAATGGAACGAAAGTCGAAGAATACTTTGAAAGCCACGATCAAAATGTATTTGCTTATCTTCGCCAAAAAATACACGACGTTATCGCAAAATTTGATATGATGAGTCTATACTATACCTGTGATTTATCATTGCAGTAATATTTTTTAGAGTTACTTATATAGGCTGTCTCAAAAATTTAATGATTAAATCAATTTATTTTATCGATTAAATCAGGAATTGCAAAACCAAATGCTTTGAAATCTTGCAGACGTTTTTAAGTTATTGTAAGCATGGTAACTTTTTAATCAAAATGTCTCTGTTATCAACCCCAAAAAATTGACGTCATCTCAAAATTTTGCCTAATGAATTCTATCTAAAATGTGCAAATTATGATAAGTTTTTACTTATAATTTATTATTGCATTCATATTTGTAAGGTTTGCAGGGTGATTCAAAAAAATAATGAATCAGTCAATTTATTTTATTGAATATAAAAAATATTAATGCAGTGATAAATCACGAGTATAAACTTATCATATTTTACACATTTAAGACAGGATTTATTCAGCAATATTTTGAGGTGACGTCATACAATTTTTAGAGGGGATAAGCAAATATATGTTAATTAAAAGTGTATCATGTTTATCATGACTTTAAAACATCTGCAAGATTTCAAAGTATTCGATTTTGCAAATTCAAAATTAAATTGCAAAATATTGTTTTATAATTTTGATTTTTTTTTCCAAACATCTGGATGTTTCGGATAAAAACTCAACACGGAGTCATAAACTACATGTGTAGGACTATGTTACTGTATACAATTTAAAACCCATTTTCTATGCATAAATTTGAAGTGACGTCATCACATTATTGGTGGGGATGATTAGACAAATTTAATAATTTTCCAATATTTATGAAAACAATATCAGTTAACAAAAATGGCACAGTTTTATTATTATGCCAGTTACATGTCACTCAACGACAATATCGTTTTTTTTTTACTTATTTATTATGAACATTTAAGAGTATTTTACTTGAAAAAGTGATGACATTTTTTTACGGAACAATTGGTCGAAAGATGTTAGAAAGCAAAATAATCTAGGTCCGGACAGGGACCATCGTCACTCACGAACAAAAGTGACCATTATTTTATGGGAACAAATACCTGCTAAATCTTCTCCGACAAATTCCGGAGAACTGCTGTGAGCCATAAATATTTCTTACCAATTGTACTACTGTCCGTCTCGTTACTGTCAATACAATTTTATAGGGTAGAATGTAAATTTTGTTGTAGTTTGAGTCTACCTGCAAATTCTGCCCTTGAAGGATTAGGACTGCCTTCCTCGATGACGATCGGCAAAAAACAATTTTTAAGTAATTTGTCTATTCAGACTAAAACTTGTTTATCCAACTTTGTGAATCTTTATGATGTTCCAGACGTACCCGCCACAGTCGAGTCGAAAAATCATCAGGCTACAAAGTCTCTTTAGACGTCGAGGGACGGCGAACGATAGTTAACCTCAGACTATCAAAAGATCAACTTGAGGAGATACGAGCCAAAAATATAAACAAAGAAGGGGAGCACGCACTAAAAAACGACTATCTACACGTTGCTGTTCGCAAGTTTGAAGAAGCTGCGGCTCTGGCCAACACCTCGGAATCTAGAACACAAATATCAAAGAACCTAGTTGAGACCCGTACAAAAATCGCTCGCAAGCTTGTGCAAAAGGCTTTATTTATCGAAACATCTGGTGGAAATCCTGAAGAAGCATCACAGTTGCTTCTGCAAGCGAAAGAAAATTTGGAGAAAGCTAGTGAACTGGACAGTTCTAAACAAACACGCCGGCAATTACAATTCGTCGATTTGAAAATTGACGGTAATACATCGTTTAATAAAGCCGTCGAATTGGAAGAAGAAGCTCTTTCAGTTTTAGAAAACGCTCTGGAGTCAAATGAAACAGAATTTTTTACCGCTACCGCCAAAAAATACAGCGAAGCTTTAAACTTGTACAAAGAAGCGCTGAAAAAATATGAGGAAGCTCAGAAACTAAACGAGGCTAACGTTCAAAACGAAATCGACTTAATATTAAGACAAATAGAGGAACTCCGCGAAAGTGAAGACCACATGGTGAGACTCCATCTCTCACACAATATTAAAAATATCAAAATCGAGAAAACGGATGCTACAAAGCAACAGACTACAAGCCAGACTTACCAGGAACAAACAGATGTACATTTTTAGACTTTTTTTTGAATTGTATACAAAATCAATAAAGTACAGCAAGTGGGTATGTGGACTTATATACTTACCTAGTGTAGAGAATTGTTCCAAAGTTAGTAATGAGCGATAACAAAAAAATCTCTTCTATTAATTATCCCTACACGATTTTTCGACGTAGCGTATGTTTGTTGGTGGTCTCTACAGAATAATCAAAATTCTCTAAATTTTTGTTGTTGGATTATGTTGTTTTAAATGGCAAGTTAGGTAATGTGTCAGATACATGAACATTCTTGCTAGCATTTTCAGATAGCAAGAAGCATATTTCTATTGCAAATTTTTGTTGTGGTAAGTAGGACAGTTTTTCACATTTTTTTTGTTTTCTTTATAAAAAATCTATTCGATAAATAAAGTGTAAAAGTGGCACACTAGACTAGTTGGAAGTAAACGTCGGAATAATTATGTCACATAAATTTTTGTTTGCACAAGTTTTACTTCACACCAGATCTTTTTATTTTTATCAATCTTTGCTAGTTCTTTGTTTTGTACATATTTTGTTGATTAATGTTTGCATTGTCAGATAAGAATTCTTTGCTGTTTCAAATGTCACAAGAGGAAATAGGGGAAATAGTACTTACAACAAAAGTATTATTTTGGCAGATGACATATCCTCTGATAAAGCAGGGGGTGGGTGGGCGGGGCTTCTACTTGGTAAGATCAGACTGATTTTGGCCAATAACTTATCTTCTGGGAAAATAGGGGGCGGATGGGCGGGACTAGTACTTGGCAAGATAAGACTGACTTTGGCAAATCACATAACCCCTGAGAAAACAGGGACGGGTGGGCGGGGCTAGTAATTGGTAAGATAAGACTGATTTTGCCCCTGTAGTGGAGTGCCGTAAGGTTTATACCTCGAAACCTGGTTCCACTGAACGGATTTTTGTTCAATGTGTTTTTAGCACTAAATGCTAAAATGTTCATCCATTTATTTTCGCCGATCTTAATTTTTTTATTATTAAAATAAATAATAATAATTTTTTCGGAGTATTAATTTTCTATTAAAAACTCGAAATTTTTTGCTCTTAAAGTTAGATTTTACCTAGGATAACTAGTACAAATTTGTCCTTGGGCCTCGGGTAAAAAGGCGAGGAAGAGAAGGAATTATAGAGCGACAATAGCAGATATTTAACGTCGTATGCAACATAATATTGTCGTTTTCAAAAATTTCGAGGAAATGACGTTGACATGAAAGTCATTTTCCCATTGCTTTTCATACATCTATCAAAACTTGATTTGGTCATCTTGTCCGAAATTTTTTGGAAATGATTGTGGTACATGTTACAACTAGCGGGTGTTCGATTGAAAAATCACTCTGAGTAGGCATTGGAATATCATTTGACACAATTGTTTACTTTCTTAGAGGGTATGTTTTTTGTCAAAATCAGTCTTACCTTAGCAAGTACTAGTACCGCCCACCCGCCCCTGTTTTCTCAGGGGATATGTGATTTGCCAAATTCAGCCTTATCTTATCAAATACTAGCATCACCCACCCGCCCGCCATTTTCTCAGAGGATGTCATTCGCCAAAATCAGACTTATCTTACCAATTACTATCCCCGCCCACCCACCCCTGTTTTCTCAGGGGATATGTCATTTGCCAAAATCAGTCTCACCTTACCAATTACTAGTCCCGCCCACCCAACCCTGTTTTCTCAGGGGATATGTGATTTGCCAAAGTCAGTCTTATATTACCAAGTACTAGTTAAGCCCACCCGCCCCCTATTTCCTCCTACGATCTCAAATGAAAACGTTGGATTCGTTTATGGTTTATCACCTTTTTGAATCCTTTCGTAGATAAAAATGATCTGCATTCCGAAACCTAGTGCCGAAGTAGGCAACAGACTCGTCAGTAGTACTATCGGTGCCGAAGCGCCTTTTTCCTCTGGTCTGTTCACCATGGACTAGTATGCAAAGATAGCAATGAGCAAGATGAAGCATCCGTTGAGGACGTTGGCGTTGGCTGTAACATTTCTTTAGTTTGCTGTTTGTACGTTTTTGTAGCGATTCACCTTTTGCGAACAGAGTGCTGATCAGAAACGCAAGACTGATTAAACTGAACGCGTAGAGAAAGAAGAACAAGAATAATATGCAACCGTTCGAGTAAACGAATATGGGAGGGTCGAGGTAAGTGTACATGCATAGCAGGAGGACTATGTAGACGGTGTTGAATGACAAAGCTTGGAGGAACCAGCACAGCCACTGCAACCATCCGGGGAGACCCATTATTTTCATCGATTCCTGTAACACACAATGTAGGGATGAGGGTGTGAGACGCGAACAGAGAGACGTCGTACTTTTAATTGTTTCTCTTTTTCTGATGCGACCTTTTTAATTGTAACGAGGTGGTTATAGACGAAGAGACAGATTATGAGTGCAATAAAAGTCGGTTCGGATAGGTTTTTTTCGCCTAGAATCAGTTGTTACATTTGGACTGTTTTATACCTGTATTTAAATTAGCAACCAAAAAAATCATCGTACAATATGGCTGGACGTGGAAAGGAAACAGAAACTATTGTGTTGTTCGTTGGAAAATTTTCAATATAATCAACGTCATGCGCCAAGAAGAACATTATATGACTTTGTAATCTTAAAAACTTCGACTCGTATGCTGAAAATTACAGTGAATAAACCACTTTTCTAGAAATATTTGTTTCCATTTACCAGATTGCCCTGATGTTACTTACATATGAGTACAGACGATCCGAATACCACTTGTCTGAAATGGATATCTTGTGAGGTAGTCTGAAAAGTAATCAATCCAAGAAAATACTGCATAATTACGTTCTTAGTAGGTACCTTATAGTAACTTCCACATCATCAGGGACATCCTTGCTCTCGTTGATTCCGCGCAAATTGTCGCTAAATTCTAAAGCAACATTCAAACCAGCTACGAATTGATTGTCTGTACTGATCTTTTCCGACAACTTTGCTTACGTGTCAAATTCCAAAATCGTTAAATTTTCCCTGGTGCAACTTGACACCATCATTCGGTGCAATAAGGGGCTGGTTGGAGAGTAAGCGATTTGTTTAGAATCGCCTGAAGCGCATCCAGAACTTGTGAAATAGCGCCAGTGAAATTCCTGCGGGTGCCCATAGTAGGTCTCCTTCTCGGAAACACTATAATCTCTTCGGAGAAGATATAGTAAAACTAGTACGGACAGAACGTAAATGATCTTGCCGATTAGAACCCAAGGATGTCGCTTCAGCACGAGCCAGTTTTTCCACATCAGCAGCGCAAATTTTCTTAGCAGCTTTGCCATAGTTCATAAATTTTTGCGAAACAGTTGTGCTCTGACAGTGACATTAGCGGTAGTATTTTGTTTATTATGTCAGTAGTTACTAAATTGTTTATAAGTGCAATGTATATAGGTTCAAGTACATCATAGATGTATTATATGTTGTATAAATACTAATTCTTGAAAAATGCAACCATAGGAACAACAACCAATTTTAACGTAATTTTCGGATACGTCTGTGAGAAGAAATGATCAAAATATTTTCATCCTTACACGAAAATGTGAGAATCTACCTGTATTTGTTGGACTTTGGACTGTATATTTAGCCGAGGGAAGTTCTGTCAAATTAACATTTGACCAACTTTTTCGAAATTTTGTTTAGACAGGAAAGCGTCAAAGTCAATCTAAAATACAGAAATCCGACAAAACTTGTTCTTAGTATTTACCTGTTTCGCACAACGTTCAAAACACTGCATCATCATAAAGAATAATTTTGTTTCTACTATTAGAATTTTAGTAAAATAATAAACAAAGGTACATAATAAAGGACATAAGACAACGAAAGCTTTTTTTGCGACGAACTGGTTTCTTCGAAAGCTAATTTTACCGAATTGCACAAATTGGTATAACACTGGTAACACTTCTTGTTAGTGTGGTTGATGCACATTTTTGGCGGAGTGTACTTGTGGTTAGCGCAACTTCTGTATTCGCTGAACGTACCATCATCTGCAAGTAACTCATTTACCAACGTAGTAAGGGTGTAATTATTATATTTACATTCTTTATGAATACTTGCCATACATACTTGGGTATAGTTTTCGATTCTTTTACATTTTTCTGTATCGACGGGGTTTTGGCACACCTCGTTACAACTATAACATACGGTGGGTTCTTTTTCTTCTTCTTGAGCTAGGCAAAACATCGCAACCAAAACTATATAGCAGAGTTCCACCAATAATTTCATTGTAGAGGCACACAATTGTACTTGACCCTCAGCAGACGTTATATTTAGTAGAAATTTGCAAAGACCACTTTACAAAATGTCAATATGTGTTGACAAATTTTTAAATAAATAAGCTTTCTAGATATTGTACATGCTTTTTTTTCTCTCGTGATGTGTTTATCGCAACAACTAGACTACTTTACTTACGCGCATTTAGTGAGTGATTCGTAAACTTTTAAGAGTACGGAACAATCAACAAATCCCTTTTGTTTTACGGAACTCTAAGTTTAATGCTAAATAACTGCAGCCATTACAGTTTTTTGTAAAATTTTACAATTAACATTTAATTACAACTAGTGAAAACGAGTGAATTTACTGAATATGAAAGCGAAATCAAAGAAGCTTGGAATCTGGGATGTTCGACTCTCATTCCGGTCAAATCGAGAGATCGCTACTAAAACCATGGCCGACTAGTATAAAGATTATGGCCTGTCCAAAGGAATGCCAAAGGTACCATACGTGCTGCCATCTATTAATAATTCAAACACGACAAAAGAATTATTAACACTTTTTGAAAGGCACAAAGGCATTCATACCGAACCAAACCACCATTACACGTTTTGAAGTCCCATAATGTCAAGTCAAATTAAAATTTTGCGAAATTATTAAGTGTAATTATTAATAGATGGCAACACGTATCGTACCTCTTGGACAGGCCATAATCTTTATACTAGTCGGCCATGCTAAAACACATCAAAGTTTTAACGACTGGTGAAAAAAAAAATCTTTACGGTGACAAAAGTGAAGAATTTTCAAAACCATCGACCTCAATCTGTAATCAAGAAAACGTGATGGGTGAAAATTTCGACAATGTTAATGTTGGGCAGGCGCGGATCTAGGGGGGGGGGGCAATGGGTGCAATTGCCCCCCCCCCCCTGATACAGGACCGAGGTACTTTATTTTGACCAAGTTCAAAATTTTGAAATCGCTTTTCATTTTGTAAATACAGTACAACCTCATGCATGTGTGTATGGAATATTTTGAAATTTTTAAAAATTGCTATATTTCAATGCACTGAATTAATTAACTAATTCTGGAAAAAAGGTAGAAGTTATCGAAGAAATGATGATCTACAAGAAAAAGTATTTAGTTAAATTTCGAAAATCGTCGAAAATGGGTCGAAATTTGCATGAGGAAAATTTCATTTTTGAAAAAGTTTCCTAGAAATTCTGAAAACATTCAGGGATATATGTATGTCCCTACGTGCTGATTCCAAAAATATAGCATGTTAATGGTAATCGAGTAATATTTTCGGAAAATTTGGTGTGAAATTCGATTTTTTGGAAATTTTTAAAAATCGAACTATTTCAACTGGATGAATCTGAAAAAATGGTTTAAGTTATCGAAGAAATGAAGCCAGAAGTGACTTCTGAGGCCCAAAATCTACAAGAAAATGTATTTAGTTAAATTTCGAAAATCGTCGAGAATGGGTCGAAATTTGTATAATGGAGGTAATACATAATGGAAAATTTAATTTTTGAAAAATTCATCAAAAAATTCTGAAAAAATTCAGGGTATAGATCCCGGCGTGTTGATTCCAAAAAGATAGCGTGTTTATGGTCACGGAGTAATATTTTTTTAGAATGTATCTATTATCCATTGTTGCTTAAGAATTCTTTAATTTTGTTTAATAAAATTAAGGTTTATTTCTTGAAGTTTGTTTTCAACTGTGTATGAAGTTGTTATTCAATTCCCTTTTTTGATTTTTGGGAAAATCGCTGATCCGAACAAATCATTAATTCGAACACATCTTTTTCCCAATTAATTCGGATTATCGAGGTTCTACTGTACACTATACGTGTAACGAAAACAACCAAATGTCACCCATGTTATGTGAAAATGAGTATACTAGCTAAAATTTTATAATTTTTTTTTTAGAACGAATTTCTGGGAGATAGGTAAAATCGCACAAAAATTGCCCCCCCCTTAACGAAATCCTGTATCCGCGCCTGATGTTGGGACAAGTCCACTAATGTCGCACGAGTTTCCAGATAATGCTAATATCTTGTCTTTAGCGTCTGTTTTCCAAAATAAGCTTCCTTTGGCAATTTGGCAGTGTTATAATTGTACCTTCAACATTTATCTCCAGAAATAAGTTATAAATACCTATTTGTTACTTAATTATTGTAATAATTGATTCATTTTGAATAAAATTACTTACTGTTCTAGAACACCAAAAATACTTACCGTCGAGTTGATCGTTAACAAGCAGTAAACACCACGTACTGTCTTAGACACAGGCATGGTAAACAATCAAATAGAGCTCAATCGCGCAAAAAAGTGTACCTAATGTTCTAAAGTGTCCCCAAAGGATGGTGAGAACGCTACCAAAATCCATAAACGAATGGATCCCGATGGCTAGAAAAAACAGGAAAAACAAAAACGTCAAAGAAACTGAAGTTGAAGGAAAGAACAGAAGCAAGAAGATGCCACGAGTGAAAAAGTAAAAAACGAAATTTGAAGACGAATTCGAATAGAGTAAAGAGAAAGACAAGACCGAAAAAATTCGAAAGTTTTAAGTTAGATTTTTAATATCCCCAATTTTATATCGTGATCACTCCCTGAGCGTAAGCTAAGCGAGTATCGTAATCGAGTTCATCGGACAATTGGCAACTTTCATATTTTCGTGATGTCTCTCCGCAAGAGTACAGAGAAAATGGTCTCCT